TAGTTGTCATGATTCCCAGCATCAGACAGTGGACTTGCTACATTCTCAAACGTTTCGCCGGCATCGTAGTAGGCATCATCAGTGAGTTTTTCCATTCTCCGCACCAAGCTACGAACTTGTCAAAAAGACAAGTGAAGTCAATCCCTCGACAAACGTTCTGCCCAAAACGGTTACACTATCAATCCTCCCATCCGCCTCCCCTCATTGTCTCGTAGATCCGTTATTACCTTTCTGGTTGACCGATTTTACTCGGTTCTAGTCCCTGTATACATTTCACTACAGTCCCTATTTTTTAAGGCCCTAGAAGCACTGAGCAGAGCGCCTAAGCTCTGATTGTCATGCTTGCAGATATCGGGCCTTCCCTTCACGGGTCCTCTCCTTGATTTAACCTATGTTATCTGAACAAACTGTAGACGCCTATCTCTGGTCGCATGCGTTATCCCAAGTGGATTTCTAGTAGGTTTTGTCCATAACGCCGAATTTCCGTGACGGTTTGCTCATCCATCTGCCCAGTTCCCTAACGGTCAAGCCCCCAAAGTTGTACTTGTTTATTAGAAACGGACATCACTCACTGACAACGTCTTCGCTTGAATGCCGAAAGCCTCTGTCCCACACTTTTTTCATCGCGATTCCTTTTCCTCCGGTTAGTGGTAGATCCTTGATCAAAGCGTCTCCTTTTTGCTGGTTTCGCTGTATTCTTGTTTTCCCCGAGTTTGCTTAGGCAGTATGCAAAGTTATCAGTAACTCTAACTTCCTCCAATCTCCTGTTTGTTAAATTTTTATCCTCAAGGATGTCAATAACCTCCCTTATCTTCCGTTTCCTTGTGTTGTCACCGTATGGGACTCTTCAGTCTGTTGCCTCCCAATTGATCTCGTGTCCAGTCTGTGGGATGTGTTCCGCTAGTTCTGATATTTCGGTATCCATTTTCCTGCAGAGCCTCTGATGTTCCCTGTTTCGATAGTATATTTCTGTTTGCAGTTGCCCCATGATATACAGTAAACTCATGAACAATCCAATGTATCTGCACTTTCATGTTACGTCGTTAGATTTGAGAAAAGTGATGAGTTCTCTTTTATAGCCACCTGGATATTCCATTTCCTCAACGTTGGCCTCAGTTTTTGAGTTAATTCGCAGGAAGGTAGGCATATCCACTTTTGCTAATCCTTTATAGTCCTTACTGTTCTTTCATAGTCTCCGTTCTGCTATCGGCTTTTCACGCCTCGTATGTTTCTTTTTATCACTTCGATTGGGTATTCATTGCCGAGCAATATACTTATCAATTTGCCTAGCTCCTCGTATCCGAATTCTACATCCGTTAGGAGTAGGCTTCGGATGATCATGCTCCTCATCATTCCTATGTTTATTTTTAGTTGTAATGGGACCGTAAATTGAGTATTATCCCAGCATAGGACTTCTTTCTGAACAATTTCTTTTTGAGCGTCCCATTAGAGCGAATCATTTCACCGTCCAGGAAGGGTAACCGGTCACCCTCCTCCATTTCCATCGTAAATTGAATTTTTTCAGAAACTCTTCGAGTTTTTATCTTCCATGTGACCAAAGTGCGAAATAATCACCCAGGTACCGCATGAGTACTGCGGTTTTCTCATATTTTGTTCATCTATACCTTTGCCAAAAGTGGTGAGAGGGGCGATCCCATGGGTAATCCAAATATTTGGTCATAGATGTTCCCGTTGTAGGTAAAATAGGTTATCCTTATTGTTACGTTCTACTAAGTCGCCCTGACAACAAGAGCAAGTTACGTCAACGAGGTCAACCCACTTCTATAAATCGAAAGGAGACTGCGGCCATACCAGAGGCCACAACTTCTTGGACTTCATATCTTCTTCTTCCATATCCATTTCCTTCAGCATTTCTTGTAGTGCTCGTTTGACTTTAAATGCTGGATCTTTTGTTAGCGGTTGATAAGTTGTAGTGTCCAAGAGAATATTTTTAATTTTCTATGTATATTCCTTCCTATCCATCACCTCTGTAGCACCTCCTTTGTCGGCCTCAAGAACTATTTGAACGGTTCTTTTCAATTCTCTAAATATATTACTTTTATTATTTATATACGTGGGTTGTCGATGCGCCTAAATTGTTGGGTCGATTTTCATTTCCAGCTCTCTTTTTGATTCTTTTGGTAGCTTCTCAGAGTTATTTATCAACTCAACTAAAATGTCCTTGACTGATTTCTTTTCATTCCGAGTGCAGCATTTAGCCGAGGTCAAGAGGGACGGAAGACAGATTTTCTACTTTATCATCTCTTTTGTCTGGGCCATGTGATTCATCATTCTAGAGACAGCTTCATTTTTGCTGGGGTTTGGACACTAGGCTGCTTATAAATCCCATATATATTACGCCTCTTCTGGTGCCTTTTTTGATTAAAGTGAGATACTTTTCGACATTTAATTTGATATCTTCCGTAGTTTCAGGAACTTCTGCGGGATGAGAATCCGACTTAAATTATACCTGTCTCTAGATTTAATATATAAAAACTTAAATAATTTTCCCCTCTCCCCATCATATGTCTCCTTTAATTTTCACAATTAAGTTCGGTATAATATAATATTTAACATACTAGAATGATAATTATCATAAATTGCAAAAACTAGGAGGGATGTCATAACGTTTACAACAGTTAAGAAAGGTCAACTGACAAGATTGAATTACGATTGTTTGTGTTGATCTGCTGTGTAATGTCTGGCAACCTTACCACCATAATTAAATCGTAGGTATGAGAACCAAAATGATGTAATCATATGTTTGGCCACAGGCACCTTTATCTTTATAGTGCTGGTTTGACCTCGTTTTCGGAGCTTATTCGGAGCACCCGAGAAACCTCGTGGACCCTATAACTAATAATGCGTCCTCTGCCATAATATGTGTGATTTCCAGGATCGGATTATTGACTTGGCACATTCCAAAACGCAACTCTGTACTAACGCTGGTACCCCTTATTGATCATGCCGACTTCGATGCTGGCGAAATGTTTGGAAACATACTGAGTCCGATGCTTGAAACCACGAATATTATGGTAGAGGAAACATGAATAAGTACTTTCCGCAAGGTCCCCTTGATGCCCCGACCAAGCTACGAAAACGAGGTAAAGCCAACGCTATAAAATAAAAGGAGACTGCAATCTTATTTTTCATATATATGACCTAATACTTTAATCCTTGTCGAAAGCTTTACCTCTTATGATTTACCGTTAAATGTAAAGCTTGCGCTGCCCCTTTATCGTAATATCAAAATACATAGATCTTAAGTAGAGCATTAGAAGCAAATCATCACTTTCTACAGGCGGTTCATCTATTAGCTTTACAAAAGTCGTAAGAGTCCCTTCTTGTAAATGAATAAAAATCGTGATGTATCGTGCACTCTCCGAAATCCAGCAATTCTTCATATATAAAATAGCAAAGATTAACGTCGCTTGTGCATTATTTAATTAATTATATCTACGCATTCTGGAAAAATGTAAATGTATCTAGATAACCGCCAAACAGAACTAAATACGTTTACTCATGCACTGGAGTGCAGCTTCAAACCAATGACAAAAAGAATGCTAGAGTATTTGCCTACCTGAGTTGGATTTGACATGAAGTCCGTGAATGAGAATGGGTCTGAGTTTGGTAACGACTCTTCACATATACTTTGTACCCACCACTTTACCAGCAATTCACGGTATTCACTAAGGAAGGGACCTATGTAGGAGAGTGAAGCAGCGGCAATCAGACAGTCACCGGGCAGTAGCTCAATCTGCTTCTCAAGGTCCTCGACCGTGTGCTCCCAACGCACTTTCTCGCCAGCCAACCCGCTCACTAACTTGTTGGCTCGATCGAGCATGCGTTCAGTGTGCTCAGCCTTTCGACGAAGCTCTTCTTTTTGCTCCATCTTGATGGCAGTATTTGCGCGAATGAGGAAAACAAATAACAGTAAGCGAAGAGTTAGCGTATGACTCAGTAAATAGAATAGTTGAATATAGAAGAGAAAATAATAATTTTGAAAAGAATACTGCAGTCATTAATGAGTAAAAATAAAATATGATACATTTCGATAAGTAAGACGTTACGGAAGACCTGCGATTAAACTCATTGGGATGCATGAAGATTGGAAATAAAGACACTAATCTAAGTATTTCATTCAACTATCAAAATCCTTTTGCTTTAGAAATCAATGTTAAAATTTTTACCAATTAAATTAGTCCCCTAGATGAGTGGTTCTAAAACTTTTCCTAGTCGCGGTGCCGTTTTTCAATCAAAATTTTTTGATGGCGCCCTACTCTAAGTATGAATATTCGTAAGTAAGAGATAAAAAAAGTAAAACTGGTGTATCTTCATTATTTTTTTTACTTCATTGACATTAAATTAATATTTAATAATTAATGTGATGGATGAGCCAGCAAATCACTGCCCATTTTCTCAAATTGAAGCTTTTACAATATTTCACGGCGACCCTCAAAAGAGGCTGCGGCTCCTCGAGGCACCACATTGCACAAGTTGGTAATCATTGCCTTAGATACTACCTTCAATCTTCGTGATATCAATGAGTTGCATAGGATCAATGAAGGCATTCAAGATCAAGCCCAATATTAGGCTAAAGATAACTTTTTAAAAAGGGCCCTAACAAAAGTTGTGATGACCTTCTCATGCCAGAATACGCTCTGGCTTAAGGCCATTGGTCAGCTTCATCTATTTTATAGGAGTTGAATCAACCTTGTGGTTCGGAATGAGTAGCATCCTTTGCCAAGATGATCAATCATTGGCCAGATCTGAAAATGTTATCGTAATCGATGGTAGCTTTACTAAGGTAAGATGCTCTTGAATCTTATAAAGTTAATTTGGTTTCGATGAATTTAGTTCGAGGCAGATTTTAATGATACTAAATGCTGGACTAATGCTGTAGATTTTAGATAAAGCCAATCGGCATACGTATTAAAGCAAAGTTAGTTTACATCAGAATACTTGATTCAGTCATTGAAACCAAATACTAACAATCCCTTTTAGCCAGAGAGTTATATCCATGTGAGTCAATTGCCTTTCAAAAATACGATGATGGCATAGAAGCTTCTGACTTTATATCACTAACAAAGGCGATATTTTAGACAGAAGGGATAACCCAAAGGATAATCGATCGCATATTTGCATTGTTGGAGAAAATTTTAGCACCCCT